TTTATGTGCGGAGATAATAAAAGAGCTGTGATTGCCACCTTGAATGTTGTTGGCCTTGACACCAAGGGCTTTGCAAAGAACGAGGTAAGTTGGTTTAGGTTTGATATCAATGTACTTGCAATAATAAGTTTAGAGATTGATTTAATGGAAACATCATGATTGTGATGACTATTTTGCACAGTTGTTTTGGATATTTAATTGCTGATAGGGGCTGTTTTCTACCTTGCAGATTGTTGCAAAAGCACTTGAGGGTCTTTCAATTGAATCTGCCTTTGATTTACAAAAAATTCTAAGAATCGAAACACATACATCACAAACAAGTGCATTGCAGAAGCTCCATAAGGCGCTTCCTGTTTTCCAATCTCGTATGGGGGCACTACTGTTCCTTATTTCTGCATTACTGTCCCGGGGATTGGTATGCTTACAAAGCTATCTCTTCATTCATTTGCCCTGTAATATTTTCCCATGTGAGAGTCTGATCTAATCCTCATCATTTTATGCTTGGAAATGGGGTAATCGCTAGTCCATTTCAAAACCTATTCCTTTTGTGGAAGAAGGTAGGAGTGGGGTGGGATTGAGGTGTCTGATATTTTAATTTCAAAGCTTTTTGAAATGGGAGTTTTGAGCTTTACTTTGGGGTTATGTTATATTAGTGGAAAAAAAAGATGGCTTCATCTTTCTCCAGTCTTATGCTGTAAATCACTAACAGCCTTTTGAAGTTTCCTTGTGAATTAGTGGTTCTCCCTTTTTAAAATTGGATGCTTATGCCACTTATGCTTGAAAAATGTCTCTTCTATTCAGGACTCCATTCAATCTGACAGGGACGATCCCAGCCTTCCCCTAGTCACTGCTCCTTTTGGGCATGCTTCACAGGTATAATACCCACATATTGATCTAGGTTGTGTTATCTCGTCCCCCTCTGCTTTGATGGTACCTGTCCTTTGGTTAATTTTTGAATAATGATTGGATTTTTCTGGGATGATATCATTTCTTTTGAACATTGTGAAACAGGAAATTGTGAACCTTTTGCTCTGTGGACAGGCTGTCCCTAATGTATTTGACGGTAGGATGGACTTAGGTGGAGGCATGTTTCTAAAGGGCATATTCACGAGTGTGGAAGTTGGATTTCTCACTCTACTGGAATCCCTCAATTTTTGTAAGGTTGGCCAGCATCTAAAATGCCCTAAATGGCCAATATGGGTTGTAGGAAGTGAATCCCATTATACAGTTCTATTTGCTCTTGACACCACTGTTCAAGATGAGAATGAGCTGGAAGAAAGGGAATCACAGATCCGGAGGGCATTTGATGCACAAGATCAGAGTGGCGGTGGCGGCTTTATCAGTGTTGAAGGTTTCCATCAAGTCCTTAGGGAAGCAGGAATTAGACTTCCATCCGAGAAACTTGATCACCTTTGCAGCACTGGCTTTATTGTATGGAGTGAGTTCTGGCAGGTTATTTTGGACCTGGACAAAAGTTTGGGAGGCCTTAAGGATTCAAGTGGGTTAATGGGTAAGAAGGTGTTTGATCTTTACCATTTTAATGGGATTGCAAAATCTGATTTAAATGGAAGCCACACAACCTCTGGGGGTGAAACACCGGTTCAGAGACCTAGGCTCACAAAATTGAGGGTTTCAGTTCCACCAAGGTGGACTCCCGAGGAATTCATGGCAGATGTGGTAGTGACTTCTGGGCCTGTTGGGAACGAATCAAGTGGTAAAGACACTGAGGTGACAAAACCTGAGCCTTCCCAGCATGCACCACTGGTGGACTGTATTAGAACACGTTGGTCACGTGCAGTTTGCAATTGGGTGGGAGATCCGCCTAGTATAGTGTGAATGTTTACCCTTTTTGTGATCCTTTAATGTGCTCCTGTCGGTGGAAACACAGATGCCATATAATCCAAAAAAGAAAGAAAGAAAACAATCACAAAAGAAATCAGCGCAAGGCATCCTCTTTTATATTAAGCAGGGGGGGGGGGTGTTCATGGTGTTATCTTTCGCAGGTATGTGCAACACCATTTTCTGCTGTGGATTGTTGTAGCTTGCTCATTCTAATTTGATCTTGATAATGTTAGATACTCAGAGAGGGAGGTATACTGTCATGTTTAATGACAATCTGATGTGTAAAATTCGTTTATATTGCCTTTGTGTTGATTTGGAAAGCCTTTGGCGAGGGATTGTAGGAATGCCAAAATAATCATGCATGTTCTTGCTCTTGAATATGTTGTAACAGTTAAACTCTGCCCTGGAGGAACGCAAAAGGGCAACGGAACAGAGTATTGGAGAGTTATTAGATCTAAGGAGAGATCCTGTTGTCATATTTTTACTTTTTATTCATAATATTCAACCATGAATTCCAGCAAAAGAATGGTTACTAATTTTTCATTGCTTCTATGGAACCAGCCTGGCGGATCCGGGGGAAAGTCTGGACGGGGCAGTCAGCCTCCTACTTTTTTTCGTTGCTAGGGCATATATCATATAGGGTAATGACTGCCCTCTGCATCGAAACAGCAATATACAGAGACGCACGCTCTTTTCTATATATATCTAAATAATTTTTCTAGATTGAACTTTACATTTATTTGAGAAGAGTTTGACACTTCTTTGAATTGAAAAGGATGTTAATTATTTTAGAGTATACCAATGTTTGGAACAATTAAAAAGCTATTTGTACTCTTAAATAGGAAATTAATTGATAAGTTTTGTATGATGAAATTATGTTGAGTATAATTCCAGATATTTAGTGGAAGAATAAATAAAAGAACTTATTAAGCATGCCATACTGTGTTTCTCATTATAAACTTACGAATGTTTGAGGTTAGTAGATTATTTTAATATATTTTTTTAGAGGAAAAACTTAATTATTGTACTCTTTTGCAACTCCCGAAGCTAAATTTTTATGTTCGTCATGTGTCCACAGAAAGTTTTATAGTTGTTGATGATGAGTTTGAGTCATGGGCTTAATGTTGTTTAACTCAATAAGAGAGAAGTTTTGGGTTCCCAGATGATTATTTGATAAGGATTTTGCCTAGTACACCGATATGTTCATGCTTGTTAATCATAGCGGGACAAGGAGGTCAATGTGGATTGAATTTTTATCATGGAACCTTGATTTAACAATTTCTGCCGTTGAAATCTCGGCTAGAAAACAGGGTTCTTCTAGTGGTTCTTTGCCTTCGAATTGGTTTAAATCATGGGGACAGGTTTCATGAATTTAATGCTACTCTTTGTATCTTTCCTTGTATTTATACCTCTCAAGGTTTTATTAATTGATATATAACTTTTAACACTCTTTTTGCATGCAAGACTCTTTTTATTTATAAAAAAATTATAAAATAGACTCAAACTCTTTTAATCCAATAAAGATTTTAAGTGCTACTTTACGAAGGATTCTGAATCCTTTTCCATCCAGGGCTCTCATTCCTTGGAGTAGGCAAAGCAATGTTGACGTCGTGGACAATTAGAAGGCTCTGTCTGCTGGAAGAGGTGTTGAAGGTTGGGGAGTATGGTCTTCCATTGGCATATCATTACAAACTTTAATTGGCAACGACAAAGATTTTGCTTCTTTAGCTGACCACTTGCAAATCCCATCTTCATGAAAAATAACATCTCAACATATGATCATCCTTTTAGTTTTTGGATTATACAGTTTACCTTTTGTCTCATTACTTTAATAAAGAAAGATATATTTTTCTGACTTGTTATCCAATTTCTTCGTTAACACATTGGGAACATGAGAATAAGCAATCCAACCAAATATCTTGAGATGACTAATATATGGTTTCTTTTGACTCCAAGCTTCCTGAGGAGTTATATCATGAAAACTCCTTGTAGGACACCCGTTCAAAACATAAAATATCACAAGCAACTGCTGCTTCTCGAAAAAATTTAGGTAATTTTTTATTAATATACATCTAATCATGTCCATCACAATTCTATTTTTCCTCCCCACCATCCCATTTTGCTGAAGAGCGTATCTAGCATTCAATTGATGCTGAATACCGTACTTTTTCAAGAAATCATCACAAACATTATATTCTATAATTTTCCTATGAAGTAGCCGTTTAATATATTGCAACTTTTATGATGCCAAGTTCTGCAGAGTGAACAATTCAGTTGCCTTGGCTGCTCCAACAATACTGGTGAAAAGCTCTTTGGAACTGCTGGAGGATTGAAGCATGACAACACTTTGTGTTGGTAGGTTGATGCAATGGATTATCGAGCAGGATCTAAAGGATCGGTTTTATGACCATCCACACGTTGGGATTGAAATCATAGAAAGCGTGTGAGTCCCTTATTGGGATTGAAACGGGAGGAACCAGTGTGTAATTGCATGACCCAATGGCACCAAAAGCATCTCTGTTGGTGATTTTAATCGATGTTGTTTTGGTAGTTGTTCATCGAATACTATGTATATTAACATAACATTTAATAAATTACCTACATTCACGAAAAATATTTATATGGTTAAAAATAAAAAAATAATACAATATAAATATATGAAAGAAAAGGATTATATCTACTTTACTCAACTTCCATATCTCATTATTTTCATTGCAATCCTTTTTTTTTTTGTCACTCTTGTTCTCGCTCTCTCTCTATTTTTTATCTCAAATAATATTTTTATTTATAGGTAATTTATAGCAAATAAGAGATCATAAATTATGACACAAACGAATAGAGAGACAAAAGTTATAAAACATGGTATAAATGGTGGCAATAAATAAGCTTTCATGAAATAAAAATGGGGTTGCCATAAAATGGCAATTCCTAACATACTCCAACTGCATTTTTGGTTCATTGGTTGCACTCATGACCCAAAAAGTCCTAGTTGGAGTTGCTTCTGAGATATATCTTCTCCCTTGTATCTAGTGTGGGATTGGGGCATTCAAAATACCAGCAGAAGGGAATGCTTTATCAATGCTCGCATCTTAGAAGAACGTGCGTGTGCTCTGGTTCCATGCCCAGGTGGGGACTTGCGTAGGATCAGCTATCAAGTGAGAATAATCTCCTGGTTAGTGAAGCATCAGCAACAAGAAGAGCAAAAATATATCAGAAAATGAATACTTTACTATCTCTGTGTCTTCTTCAGTTTCATATTCATCTACCCATCTCAGAATCCTGTTACAAAGTCAAAGGAGAGTTACTCTCCAAAAGAAAAGAAGGAAAAATTAAAGGAGAATTGTTAGAGTCATGATGGGAAGTGCAAGTATGCCTTTTGAGCTACTGAGTGCACAGAAAAACCTTTCATTGAGGTAGGTTGTATTAGCAAAGTTGATTGGAGCTTCAATGCTTAAAATGAAGACACCAGGGATCCTCATAGCTTCCTTGTAATGATGAAGATTACGGAATATATCTGTCCCAGGTATGTTTCCCAGAACCAGAGTCTTTGGCCTTGTGACTTGAAGAAGGATCTTGAATATTGATATCCCTACCTGATCATCACCAGCATCATGGTTGTTTTGTATCATCAATAATACGAAAGCAGGAATCACTCTATAGTGTCTTTTCCAAAGATAATTGGAAAAAGGAAAAGCAACTTAAATCCTAATTAATAAGTATTTCCTGTTTACTTTTTCAAGCCGGTGCAGGTTTGGTTCTGGTACCATTATCTAAAACTTGAAAACTCACCGCAATGGCAAGGCCGTCCCGGATAGAGACAAAAATAACACCAAAGAATGCACACAACATCACAACAAAATCAAATTTGTCGATCTTCCATATCTGGCAAGCAGCAGGGATGTCTACGAGGCCATTTACTGCTGTTACTATGATGGCACGCAATACAACAGTTGGGGTGTACTGGAATAGAGGCATTAGGAAGAGGAGGGTCACCATAACTGTCACTGACATTGTAATGTTAGAAACTGCCGTTTTGGCTCCTGCAATGTGATTGACAGCAGTACGAGAGAAAGCTCATGAAATTCAAAGTTCTGTCATAACACCATTGATGTGTCTTCTATTTTTAAGCATTTAATAGCCATAACAGAGAAGAAAGAAAGGATAGTAGACTGTATATGTTAGCAACTGTTGTAACACAACAGGAAGTGGCGGAGCCAATTACATTCATTAACCCAATTGTCATCATTTGCTTGTCACCATCTTCCTGGTAGTTCTTCAAAGCAGCAAAAATATGTATAAAAGTACAGTGCAATCCAAGATTAACCTCCCTCCTTTAACAATTCATGTATTTCCAGTGAGTATTAAATTTATTCTTCATATAAAAAAGCTGATAATCCCAAAGTAAATAGAATAGTAAAAAAAATTACAATATTTTTAGGAAATTGTAAAAAAAAGAAGAAGAAAGAAAGATATTTCTTAATGTTTTCTTTTCTAAAATTTACCACTCGAATGACCGAACTGAGTGGGTCAAATTAGGGCCCTTTATGTAGTTATAGTCAAATCAATGTTGCAGGCCCATTACACCTCCCAGTCCCTGTCCGAGGTCTTCGATTAGAAAAGTAAATCTCACAGAACCAACAGTCGCTTTGTCTGCGACAATCTGCCGATCATCGTTTCTCCAACTCCCCCGACCAAGGTGCGATTTCTTCTCCTTGTCACGTTTCTCTTCTACTTCCCTTAACCACTCCTATTTCGATCTCTCGTCGTCCATCCTTTGTTTTCAGTACTCTCTCTAATTCGACGGTTGGTTTCGTATTTTTAATTACAAACAAATCACCCCTCTCCAAATATTCAGGTCTCCATCGCAGTTTTTGTTTTTTTTGCTTTTGGATGTCGTTAACAATCGAACCAATCCTTTCCGATGATTGATTTCAAATAATTGCAGGGAATTCGCGAACTGTCTTACCGTGATTTTTAGTTCTAATACATGTGAGTGAGTATTCTGTATTTTATTCAAATGTATGTGATGATTCTTAAGCTTATAGCAATCTATCTGTTTTTCTCAATCTTATCTTCTTTTTTTCATTTGTTAAATTATGTGCTACTTGACGTAACTGAGATGTGGGTTTTGGATTTACAATGGAGTAAACAATTATTGTGTTATGGCCTGGAAACTGCAGGGCCACACTGAGTGCTCCAATCTAATGGGTCTATTTGTGATAAACCGGGACCTCTATCAATAATTTTTGTGCTCGCTCGTGTGTGTAGGTAGGCGAGGTTCCTTTTACATGTATTCCTGCTGTTTAAGTGAATGAGACAAAGATAGATAGATTAGATACGCTTCCTGCTTTTCAAGCATGCAATAAAATCTCCTAGAAAGTGGCCATGTTGTCTAGGTTCTCACTTTTTTTGGTTTAGGTATGATGTCTTAAGGGTCCTGATCATGAAACTGTTTTCCATAACAATGGAATGACTATGACTATCTTGTAGCACCATTTGGGACAATTATGCTTAGAAACCATTAAAGGCTTGTGTAAGCGTGTTTGTTCTGGCTTAGTTATTTTGTTATGCAGATATCGTTTGTTGGGTCAGTTTTAAGCACGAACTTTGTTTTGCTGTTTGTTAAACTAGCATTGTTATGTTTGGAGATATGTTTGTCACCACGTTCATGCAAATGCATTAGTCATATGGAGATGTGCTAATAATAACTGTGTCAGGAAAGATAATGAATTTATATACCCGCATGGTTTTGAATGCATTTTTGTAGTTCACACTAGTCTGTTTCTCACCTATACATGTATTTGCTCCCTTTCAATTAAATTTAGGGCGGATGAGGAACCTGTTGATCCGAAGAAGTATCTTGAGGAATCCTGCAAGCCTAAATGTGTGAAGCCTTTGCTTGAATATCAGGTAAAGCATTTTTATATTCAAACTTGTTTATTTTGTTTATCTTTTCATTTTTCCAGTATCTAGATATCAAATGAGTGTGGCCTTCATTCAGCGACTTCTGAAATCTGGCGTCTTATAGAAAAAAAAAAACTTTGGGTCCATCAAAGCACCTGTTTTGCTTCATTTTCAATCCTTCGCTGCTTGATAAGATATAAGATCATGTTCGATAACTTGTTCGAAAAGTGTGGATCATCTCCTTGTTGGTTCCTGAATTTTTGGCTTTATGAATTTTTGAAATCATTTCTTTGGTAGTTACTACTGAAAAATCATTTCTTTTACTGGTTTCTTCCGAATGGCTTTTCTTGAGCTTTGAGGATTTGATTTTATGGCCAAAAGCATATAACTTTTGTGGCACTTATTACAGGCATGTGTTAAGAGAATTCAAGGTGATGAGACTGGCCACAAACATTGTACTGGACAGTACTTTGATTACTGGTCCTGTGTTGATAAATGCGTAAGTTGTCTTTCACTGTTTCAAATTTCGTCAAGATTTTGATTCAGGTCATGAACTGAATTTGGCATTTTGGACAGGTTGCTCTGAAACTCTTTTCGAAACTGAAGTAGCAGGGATGCTGCTAGATCATGGGCTCATTTCTACTCATCTGCGGCGCTTCTTTTCGATTTGATCAGCATACATTTTTTGAATTAAAATAATGGAAGATGTCTTAAATTGATTGCTTTGTAACTTGCAAGTTGTTGAAGGTGATATCATGCGAGGTCATGCTGGTAATTTTAAAGATGGACGCTATATATTGCTCTAGGCTAGGGGGCTTTTGTTTTTCTGCTTTGCCGCGTTTTAAAAAAAAATAATATTTTTTTTAATGTTTTTGAATGTTTATTTTGATATATTTATAAATAAAAAATATATTAAAAAGTAATCATTATAATATCATATCAACTTGATAAAATCTGCTGTAACACTGCCTCAAGATAACTGTGCCCATACCTTTCTATAACACTGCTAGGAGAGGTGATGCTTCCGATGATATTTGCTCATATATTGTTGTGTTGATATGTACAATTCAATTCAGGTTTCGCTTCATAGCAGGTATTAACTGTTTAAACTGATATATTCCGCAGTCATGCATGATCTCTGCTCGCACGCTAGATTGACATGTTTAGACTTTTCACTGTCGTAGGTTTGTAGATCCTCACCATTTGTTCATGTGGTATGAAAGTGTTTTTGAAATAAAATGATTTTTTTTAAAATTACTAATATTTTAAAACTTTTATATTATTTTAATACACTGATGTACAATATAAATTTTAAAAATAAAAAATATTGTTTGAATTTATCATTAAATAAAAAAATATTTTAAAAAATAATTAGTTTTTCGGTTTCAATTTGTAAACCTTTGTCCATTATTTGATATCCAGGATTTGGGATCATTATTTGAACGGGATGTCTTGACGAGATTATTCATCAATAAAATGGATTCAATCTTGATTTATATATAGATATATTCAAGATTACTGATTAAAAGAGGCTAATTTTTTCAATTGAAAATGGTAGTGAAAGTAAAGGAAGAAATTTGTTAGAAGTGAAAAATCTAAAAGGCGGTGGCTAATATTAAAACCGCAGAATTCAATGTGATTGGAAACGGGGAACCAGTGGGACCTCCTACTCCTCCGCCATTAGACGGTGTATCCTCCGCCCAAAACGGATTGCAACCAGACCTAACCTTGGTCATTTTTCAGATGCGAAATTGTCGCCTCACACACGGAATGGATAGACCTCGTCTTATCGTTTTCACCAACCAAAAAAGAGAGCCCCGTTATGGCCCAACAAAACTCAGCCCAATCTCAGATCACAAATCTCTGCCAATCATCCTGAGGTCAACAGTGACATAGTTTGCATAAGTGAACGTTCTCTCTATCTGTCATTAACTCGAATCCAAGGTACAGTTCCTTGTCTCTCATTAACTCATCAAATCATCAAAGTCTCCTTTGTTTTCTCGTTCAATTTCTCCCTTATTTTCGTATTCTGACTTATAATAAATAAATAAAGAAGCATTTCTAAAATTCAAGGTCTCGACGTTAATGCACGTATCCAAGATTAAATTAATTGCCGTCCTCTCTGCAGGGAACACCGCAAATTATCATATCGTGCCTTTTTTTAGCTCTAATACATGTGAGTATTAGGCTCCCTTTATCTTGTTAAGTTACTGCTAATCATAATTGAATCTGGGTGTATCAGAATTTTGATGGGCTTTTGGCTCGCCATGCTGTGGTGTTGCACAATTTCTGATATTATCTAGTTGTAATCAATATGGAATTATCTGTTAAGTGTTGTTGTGCTGGTTTCAGGTTTAAGGTTGTTTATAAGGATGGGTGCATTAGGGAAACCAATTGCTGTCGTGTTTTATATGGTGCTGAATCCATGTAATTAATGGGTGTAATTGTGATAAACTGGGATCTTAGACCTATAAAAAATATTTTTTTGAAAGAAACCATGAAAGGCTGATTTGCTCATCTTAAGCATTCTCAATCTCATACTGGTTTTTAATTTACTATTCGAAGGCAAGGATTTATTTGTTTTTAAGCAAGATTTTTATCCATAATAAGAATTTTATCCATGATTGGATATTGCTTGTCCCAAGTCCCAACACTATCATGTTTTCAGACACAAAAACATGGATGCTAAGATTAAAAACATGCTTATACCCGTGCTAGAGTCAGTAATGAACCTTATCTGCTCGCATGGTTCTGAATTTTATTTTGCATATCATAGTTTTTTCATGTCTTACTATGCATGCGCTTGTTGTTTTCATTTAATTAAATTTAGGGCGGACGAGGAACTTGTTGATCAAAAGAAGTATCTCGAGGACTCTTGCAGGCCTAAATGTGTGAAGCCTTTACTTGAATACGAGGTGAAGCACGTTCACAATTTAATTTGTCATTTCTTTTTCCTTGCCTTCTTGTTCTCTAAATAAGCAATGAATATGATTCTTGACTTTATGTCTTCTGGCCATTGACTTATATCCAGTACCTTCCAAAGCTATTTGATGTTATACTCCCTGAGATTTCCATAACAGAATTGTTTTATGCTTATACAAGTACTTAACAATCTTGTCAGGAACTAAAAGAAATGACGCTGCTTATTGTTTTATGTGGCACTTCATCAGTCTGGGGTCGTGAAATGAGTGTGCGTGAGAAATTTGGCCTCAGTTTCCTGTTTTAATTAACTATATGTTCAATCTTTTGCTGCTTCATAGGAGGGATACATTCTGTTGGTGGTGTGCGGGTATGCTGTACATTGAACCCTGTAGGTGCTATAGTTTGTGGCAGTATAGATCAAAATTCGCTAGTCACTGCTGAATTGAAATGCTGTCCCAGTTGGTTGGAAATTTCTCAGCTTGATTATATGTTCTGCCATTGGAACTATAATTATATTCCACTTATTACAGGCATGTGTTAAGAGAGTTGAAGGAGATGACAGTGGCCACAAACATTGTACAGGGCAGTACTTTGACTATTGGTTCTGTATTGATAAATGCGTAAGTTTTTCTTTCCACTTCTTAATGCTTTCTTAGATTATTATTGGTCTGGATCATCAGCAGCATTCGGGATTTTGGGATATGCAGGTTGCACCGAAGCTATTCTCTAAACTGAACTGACAAGGAGCGCTTTCAGGACACCACTTTCGTTTCCAATTCGAGTTTTTTGCTATCTTAGTTATGTGAAATGTTGCTTGGCTGATTCGTGTCAACCCTTTATCATTTTGACAAGGAAAACCTGTTGAATTAGAATAACAGAGAATGTTGTGACTTGATGGATTTGTAAGCTGTTGCAGCAAATATCATGCGAAGTCACGATGAAAAGATCGAAAGACTCATGATTGGGTTTATAGTATCAGTAGTTCTGCCCTCTTTTCATAGAAAGAGGTACGGAAGAGTGTCTCGAATCCAGAAAAAACAGAGTAGAAAAACTATTCTTACAACTTCTTTTTACAGTGGATTTCAGAACTAAAACAAATAAAAATAATAATTATAATTAATACTAGAATAAATTCCTTTTTAATTAACTTTGATGACAAGCCAAGCCAAGTTGATTAAGTTTAAAGTTTATTTTGCCAAAATCTTCTCCACTTTGAAAATTTAAGTGCTTCTTTTGCATCTAATTTTAACCTTTTATATTTTCACTAAATAAATAATAAGCAAAACTTATTATGAGGGATATAATTTAAAAAAAAAATTAAGTTTCTACAAAACATGTCAATTAATGTTTTTTTAAATTAATTTCTCATTTAATTTAAATCATATTAATTAATGTTCCTTAATTATAAAAGAGCTCATGTGTTGAAAATTAAATTCTAATAAAATTTTAATGTTAAAAGCGAATGAATCTCAATTTTAATTTGAATTCAAATATATACATTAATCATGTTTAAATTAGATTTTCTAATAAATATAACACAAATTAAGTAAAAGATGGATAGAACTCACAAGCGGGGGCATTCCTTTGGTGTGATTACAGTTAAATATTCCCTTCACAAATGTGAGGAGTGAGAGAGAGAGAGAGAGCTCTTTCCAATTTATAAGCATTTGATACTCCAATCCAATCACTTTCACTCCCCTTCCCTCCTTGGGTTCTAGTTCGTAATAATACAACAAGCCACCTTCAACGTCCCATGCATACAGGCGTCACAACGGCCAGATAAAAAGGGAAAGGAAAGAACTGAAAACAAACTAGACAAACAACTTGGTTGCTGCACGAAAATTACTTGGAAAAATAAAAAAAGAAAGCTAGAAGGGAGAGAGTGGAAAATTAATTCACAGTCCACTTGATCCAATCAACTTGGTAAGACCAAAGGTGATAGCCATAGCCAGCCATCCTCCAACCAAAACCCTAAGTGATGACCTAACAGCTGGTGCCTTTCCCAACACAGCCCCTAACCACCCAAAGATCATCAAAGCCAAGGTCACTGCCGCAACCACAACTCCTAGCCTCACCTTGTACCCTCTTATGAAAGAAGCGGCTAGCAATGGCACTAATGCACCAACTGAAAAGGCAAGAGCTGAAGCTGCAGCTGCTTGCAATGGATTTGGCAAACTCTCCTTGGCTCCCTCTTCTTGTTCCTCTTTTCCTCCATTATTTCTTCTTTCGTTTTCTCTCTTCATTTGGGCCAACTCAATATCTAGTTGTGAGTGGACAGACACAAATTCACCTATTGCCATGCTACAAGCCCCAGCTACCAAACCGGCAAACCCGGTTAGTATCATGACCTTAATGTCTTGTTTCACAGCCCCCACACCCATCATCAATGATGCGGTGGAGACCAAACCATCATTGGCTCCGAGGACTGCAGCTCGTAGCCATTGTGCTCGTTTTGAGTAGTCAAAGTCTTCGGTTTCAATCTCTAAGGTCGCTTGTTGCTCAACATCATTAATAGGGAAAGCAAATTTGGCATCATTGAGGGATGTTTGGTTGCTAGCCATGGAAGAAAAGTAGACTGAGAATTATGGAGATTTTGTTAGAATAATCAGATAGTAAAGAGGGGAAGGTTTGGAGAAGTGTGGATGACACACGCCTTGAAGAGGTTATATATAGATGAAGATCTTTGCTAATTATGGTGGAAGGCAAGGCAAATTGAAGTGGGAATGCCCACTACGGGAAGAAAAGGCTTTTATATAACAAAAGATCCTTGTAGTTGCCAATTGTATGCGGTCTCACAATTATTGCGCTTGTATTTTGTATGTGTATATTTCAGGAAAAGTAGGGGTAATACTTTACCATACTCAATATATTAGTAATTTTGAAGAATTAAAATTGCCAGAGAAATTAATTAATTAGCAGTAAGTTATGTTAGATGTTATGCAACAAAACTTTTATAAAGAATAATTGAAAAGGAGAATTTAATTTCATTGATTAGTCATGGCTCATGATCGATGTGGTTGCCACAGTGCTTTAATGGTGGGTTTGCCTACGAAGAATGAAATGAAATGCGAAAGCTACATGAAACTAGGGAAACTTTTTTTCGTCGAACATGGTGTTTTTGTGCGTATGGAGTCATTTGATGTATTGCCCTCAATGGCCCTCACAGTAACCTTATCACCATAACTAGAACTCATCCATTGATATCAAGCAGGAAAAAAAAAACAAAAAGCATGGTCGATCGAGCCCCAAGAACCACCCACCATGCACACACGGGAAATATATAATCCAACCTTTTGTCTCTCCAAGTACTGTGCTTCTGAAGAAATTAAAAGAAAAGAAAAGGATTATGATTCGATTAGGAATACTAATCATAAACAGTCACGAAAGAATGATAAGTAAGAACAAAGAAAGAAAAAGGTGAAAACTATTTGCCAATGCAGGAAGAGAGAAAACAACTCCAGTAATTCCTCCTAGATATAGATATATACCCCAAGAAGAGGAGGTTCGCTTTTAGGCAGTTAGTCCAGAGACTGGAAGTCATGACTAAAGCATGACCGTGGAAGCAGGACAAACAACTATCTTAACAACGGCAAACATATAAATGGAAACTAACATAAGCAAGCGTTTCAAAGCTTCGGTTTCCTAAACTCTATTTGCACTCTCAAGCATTCTATTCTAGTCAAATTCTCAGGTCGGAACAAAAAGAAAAAGAAAAAGGGTAGTCTGCTATTTAATTATAGGCGTAGGGTATTTTCCTGAATATAATCAATTAACATGTTATGGATCTACGTTCGAAATCAAGATTTAGGGCATTTTCATGAATATGATTAATTAATTAACTGTGTTGTGTGTCCAAGACGACTTTCCATCATTCAATGTGATCTTGAAGGATTTTCATTTGTTAAAAGATGATGTTTAATTAAGTTCGGATATTCTGAAAAATATATAACATTATTCAGTTCTGAATATTATTTGGTGTATTTGATCCAGGTAGGGGTTTTTGGATAAATTTTATCTTGGATTAATTAATTAATATTTGATTATTTACAATCTTTTCTTTTTAAATTAATAGTTGAATGATCTTAAAGATGACCAGATATGGGTGTAGAATAATTCACCGAAATTAATAATATTTTTAGAGAAGTCTAAGTACTTACGAGGAAAAGATTATATAAATAACTGCAACCTTTTGCCTTTTAACTTGTTGTAACGTTTTGATAAAGCAGAATGTGTCTTGATGAAGGCAACTCGTCTTGAAGATTGCTTTGTCATGCTTCGCCTCATTTATGATTTCTATCTAGTATAAGACGATGATCTGAGTCAAAATGCAACACGAATTTTGTGCCCTAGCACCTAACCATGAAAATTGAAAGGCTAGACCCCCACCAGTTCCACGCATGAATGCGGCTCATTTCCATTTCTTTCAGAGATGGGCCAAGGCCCTTAAGAAAAATTCTTCTTCATCTTCTTCTTTTTTTTTCGGCCTTCTGTTCTTGTTCAGGTGATAAGGAACTCGAGACTCGCTTAATTTCCCTGAGAAGAACATCATCAGCGCCCTTTTCAACAGCGAAGCTCATGTTTCCTACACGCGGTAATTACCCGATGGTATAAAAACAGGCCAATATATTTAAAGCTAGCCCAACAATTCCTTTCACACACACACATATCTGTGATACTCCAATTATAATAATTTCAAAGGATCAAAATCATATATCTTATTAAAAAATAATATAAATTATATTTTAAAATTTAATTTAATAGTTTAAATTATTATATTAAAATAATTTGTTAATATGATATTTTAACAATCAAGTGATTATTGAATTTAAATTTTATCATTTTTATTTGTTTGATAAAAATTAATCATAAAATAATATAAAGAATACAAGTTTTTGAGATTTCATTTGAGATTATTTTAAAAAATAATAAATTATATTTTAAAATCTAATTTAATAACTAACTATAGTTATATGATATAAGTATTTTTTTCCTTAGCATGTAACATTCATAATGGATTGCTGAATCGGAAAGCACTCGGAATATAGTTGAGAGAGAGAAGTGTTGGCGAAAACGATAATATTAGGAAATGCAAGGAGTGTGCTTTCCACACGAATGCCACCTTCTCTCATTATTTTATCAATCAAAAACTACTCTTAATGGAAGTCCTATTGTTGTCCTAATTTCTCTTTCGACATTCCACTCAGGCAAACCGGCCGCTGCTATCACTGTGCTTTCCATCTTCTTTAATGGAACCCCTACGACTTGTATGCGTCACCATTTTAATGGTTTTTGTCTATGTTCACGGAGTATGCACAAAAGGATTGGCCTTTAATCCTTCATGCATAGAAATCTAGTAATGAAAGATTTAGTATATATAATAGTACTTTTATACCGCAGCAGTCCAGCTTAATTATTACATAAACAAACATTGCAGTCATTATCAGCAGGTTTCTGGGCAGCTAAAATTAACTTCTAGGAAGAAGTATGAAATCCATTTTTATAATTTATAAATTTATTACTAGAAGATGCTGTAAATCAATGCCCCAAGTCCAAGCTCATCATGATAGGTTATGCCTGGCAATAAAAAATCTCAACTTTTCGGTGGATGTTGCACTACTAATTAAACTTACATTAAGTGCCATCTATGCTAGGTCTAGATTGATATTCATCATCATGTATGGTGGATTCCTCAAGAGATTCTCTTACTCGAATCAATGCCAGCTCATAAAATAAATATCCCTCGTGCAAAAAAATCTATAATTGGCCAATATTCTGTGTCTTCTACTTAACCAAGAACGTTACCAATAATCAACAATAGTATTTTTTTTTCTATTTTTGTAATTAACTTTGGGGTAACATGCCCAATGAGTACTGCATTTTAATTGGAATTATTTGTGGGACCATATAAAACCCGAACAACTTCGTGTAGCTATTTGTGGCTACATTAGTGGCATGGTGTGTACCAACATTAAGGCCCAGCTGGAGACTGAACAAGTGATGGTGGGATGAGAATGGGAGGCGGCATCATGTTCAATTTGGACAAATCGAACACTAATACGTACTTTCTTGTCTTCCTTGGCATCAAAAGGATGCTATGTGGGCATCCATTACCTCTAGCTAGAAAGCCCAAATCTATGAGTGGTGCGTTTTACAGGATAGACCTGATTCATATCTTGTCTGGTTTGTTTTGGGATACTCGGGAAAGCACCCTAAGATGGCAAGGGACCTGAGACCTCAGAATCGAAGAGAACAAAATCTGAACGATCTGTCTTTCATTTCTTTCCCTTGCATTATTTTCTCCTGACAACTCTTCCAAGAAAAAAAAACGGGAAGGAAAGGAAAAGGCAAAACCAGGATGCTGATCTAGTCTCAACGAATCCATAATTTTCCAATAATTGAGAGATGAGCTTCGTCCCTTGTCTCCCCCCACCAGCCTTTTTTTTTTTTTCTAAGAAGACGAAATAGGGGAGTCCCAGTTACCTTGAAGGCCTGAGTTGTTTATAGGCTCTGATGACAACTGGATCAGTAACCAGGACAATGTTCCGATAGGCCTTAAGAGAACAATGGCACAGTATATACAATCGGAATCCAGCCCAACAGTTACAAATAGCATCAACATATTAGCTTAAAAAAGTCAACAAGATAAGGGTGATAATATAAACTTAATAGAATAACAAGTCTGGGTGATGGTGATATGGATATAGTTTTTTTTGGTACCTAATGCTTTTAAATTTAGTTATGTATTGATATTAAATATTCGTTGGTCTGATAAGATATCATATATAATTCTTTTAAGCTTGGTTTTACATCAATCAAATTATATATAGATCTAACAACTAAAGGTTCGACTCAACTTTTTTATTTTAAAATTTAAATAATAAATAATAATACAAATAGTATATGTAATCATATAGTCTGAGTGGTAGTCTTCTTTAGGAAAAGAAAAAAATGAAAGTAGCAACTATTTTTGCCTGCCTAGAAATATCTGAAATTCAATGAATAGGTAAAAAAAAAAAGTTGCTGAAACCCCAGATTTTGAGAAATATATATCTTGCAATCTATGAATTATGTATTATCTTAATCATTTTTCCTTTGTTATTTTATTTTCAAATTAATCTTTTGTTTTTCTTAGCATTATTAAATCTAGAACGTATCTGCTAGCCTGACTGAAAATCCAATGAGATAAGCATCTAAAAGTTTGGGTTAACCCTTATATCTTGTTTGTTTATAAAAAAATATTTTTTTATGATTTTTTTTTTTGATATTTTATATTTGTTCATTTTCCAATCAAATAAAAATATAAATTTTGGATGGAAAATATGTTTTTTAATTAAAAAAATAAAATAACTTTCCAAAAATTCAAAAACTGAAGTGTTACAGTAGTTCTTTCATATAATACTTCAATTTAGATAATTAGAGAACACAATATTCTAATATGAAATATGTTATATTATGTAATACCCATACATTTTAAATAATATAAATTTTGTTATAAAATTAGGATACCACAGAAAAAAAATATTTTATATTCTCCAAACAACAAAAAATGTTATATGTCAATAATATTATATTTAAAATATTTATATTATATTAATGGTTATATTTTATAAAATAAACTATATATAAATATATGATATAAAAAATAAAAAATCAACATTAAACTTTTTATATCTTATTCTTCTCTTGTAATTGATCA